AGTACAGAACCTGACTATGGCAGCCTCTCTCTGGGAGAGTCTCTGAAGGGACATTTTTCCTACAAGAGGGAACCAAAGAGCTGTGGGTGTCCGTCTGACTCCCTTAGAAAATCAATAGGGACCGTTCAATGAGTAACGCAGCACCGGCCCAGAACAGAACCATAGGCGCCACTAATTGCTCCTTCTTTGTTTGCAATTAGTCCAGCGCTCTGCTGCTAATGCGATTAGGTCACTTTTGATAAAGGAGGTTTTAGGGAAAACATGTCCTCTGGATGATGCGTTTGACGATCAGTTCAGTCTCGGCACAAACTGGAAAGCAGCTCACAATGGAAGAAAAGCTGAAACATGAAATCACAACAAGTTTGTTTTTAACAGATACATGGTATTAATTATGTCAACAACAGAAAGGAGTTGTTTCATCCAACAGTTTGTTCTGGAGAAATGATACCAAATGTTTGGGCACATTTAGTCTTTGAATACTGCAACTTTTTCATATTAGTACTTTATGAGGGGCATTTAACCCACAGACATATATTACAGTGGATTAAAAATCATAGCATCTCCACAGTTCTATCCACTTTCTGTCATTTAAGCAGCAGTTAAGCTCTAATATGATTCTACAGACTGCAGTGTGTATACTGGGCACTGGGCCTGAAAACTAAAAAAAATGCCCAGATTTTCTTAAATCAGTGATCGGATCAATATGTGAAACCAATCTTATCTACTTCTGAAAAAGCCTGAAAATCAGCTATCCTCTTTTGCTCTACTGTGAGAGGACTGACTGACAGACCGCCCACCAGGTCACATCTGCATGTTTGCGCTTAAAAATAGTCACCCCTCTATTGCCAATACAGGGACTTTGTTGCGATATTTAGTGTCAAGAAAAAAGAGAGAAAAAAATTGGTATTGGCAAAAAATTGGAATTGTCTGATGAGGCTTTTTAAAGATTGGTGATTGGCCAGAAAACTGCAATTGGTGAAGCCCTAATTTGATTTTATCACAATTATAGTTACAATGTTGTAGGAAAGAAATCCCAATGAAAAATTGATGGTTAAATTGGAAAAAAGAAACTGTTTGGTGGCAGCATCATGGTATGGGCTGGTTTTTCTAACAGTGGAACAAATGAATTAAGCACTAAAGATGGAAAACAACTGTGATCCAACAGCTATGCTTTCAATCCTGAGACACAACTGGACTTTGACATACAACACAAATCAAGTCAGATTAAGAAACGGATCAATCAGATGAGCAGTAACCTTTCATAAATGGTTTTCAGATGTCTGGCATCAGTCCAATCAATAAAATATATAAAAAACCACAAGCAAGTCTACAAACTGAGTAAAGCAACTGATTGGAGCAACTTCTAATAATGTCCTCAACAAAATTAGAATTAGTTTACTAGGGATTACATTTGTATAAAATTGCATTTTCTACTTGTGTTTTCCCTATTTATGTATTTTATGATGAGCTACAGCAGTATGTACACAGGTAGGGGATTTCTTCCCTCAATATATGTCCAAACTGATGCACAGAAACGAAGGCTCCTCACTGCCATGTGTACATTTGTTTTCAAGTGGCGGTGAAAAGCTGGAGATCCAGTTACCCCTAATAAGGAGAGGACTTCACACCCCATTGATCGCTCCGTCTACCTGGAATCCAGGACGCTGCCACAGAAATTCAGACCCAAACAACAACTGAACAGCTTGACAAACGATCTGCTGCTCTTCGACTTTTAGCGCATGAAAACATGAGGAGTTGGAGGAGAAAGTTAGATGTGATTTACTGGGCAACAGAATCAACAAGACAGGTGAGGAATGGCACGGCAGAGTACCGGACCTGTTTGGATAATGAGATGGGCCTTTCCTTGTAGATTTGGCACATCCAAATCGGTGGCCAGCCCCAGCTCCCCTGCTTTCAAATCACCTGGCTTGACTTCTTTAGGAGCGTAATGAATCGTGACACAGACACTCCGGTTTACACAGTTTTTCTTCCTTGTCCTTTCTGCGGCTAATTGGAAAACAGGCCCGGCTAAGATGGATCTTTGGTCACAGTTCAAAGAGAGCTTTCAGGAGTAATGCTGCCTCTCATCGTCCCCCTCCAAATGGGACGAGTTTACATGAGGACACAGATACTCACTTGGACCACCCAGTCCATCATAAAACACTTCAGGACACGACGGCTCTCGCAGGGAACTGAAGCTCTGCCAATCTGTAGCAGCAGACCTCTGCAGTGGGATCCTGCTCCTTTAATGTGGATCATTTTCATAGAAATGAGTTACAGATGACAAGAAGAAGTGGTTTTCAACATTATGCACTCTTTAAACAAGCAGAAAATTAGGCAAAAAATGTTTTATGGTTCACATATACCATACCCAGTGCATTCTAAAACAAGAACCCTGCCACCCACCAGACTGGAATCAAGATATACTTCGGTTGTAAAACATCCCCCTTTGGAGCTCGCTATAAAGGAGGAAATTACCGTTTAAATTTTCTTAGCTGTGCACCACCTTTTGAACTTTTGGGCCGGTTACTGGTATCGAGGTCTACCAAGGTTTTGGAGTTATGATGTGAAAACTGGCAAATTTTGAAAAATACATGATTCCTGTGGTTTAAAGTCCTTATGTTTACTGCAAAACCTTTTGGGGTTGATGGTGCAAAGAAGGATTTTACATAAAATTAAGACATGATGGAAAACCCAGACCGTCCTCATAGAAAAACAGTGACTTAAGTCAGAAGATTCATCAAATTCGTAGCGGTAAAGAACACTACAGGAGATGTTTCCAGCCCACAGCCATCACCATCTACAATAATTCTTTAATTAAATCAGTTACAACATTTACATTGGGACAAATAAAGTATTTTTGAATTGGAATAATAATATGTTTGAGGAAATGTTAGAGTAACTGGAGATTTCTTGTGAACATGGAAAAGCAGCCTTGAACAGAGGAGGTGACCTCAGGTTTTATCTTTCTAACACCTTCTCATGATCTTGATGACCTCATTAGTGATAACAATGGCCTTGTTAGTGGCCTCTGTTGTCCTATCAGTGTGATTGTTTCTGGTCTGATACCTCCAACCTAACTGTCAGAACTGAAGAGACCTCCTGGGTAAGAGTCTAAAACGTCATCAAGATAACAACACAGTTGAGTTCAATTAAAACTCTCAAGGTCATCAACCAGAAGTTCTAGATAACGCTACTTTAACTGTCGTAATCTGTATGTCATGATAAAATAGCAACAGGAGTATTAATAGTTGTTTTTCTGTTTGAATGAAAAGGAGTTTAAAGAAATCCCTGAAGTTAGGTTCTTTGAGACTTTAACTAGTCAGTAACATTTATACTTAAAGTGCTACACTTAAGCTTTAGCCTCCTGGAGGAGCTAAAGGCTTGTCTAATTCAGATTCAAATCACCTCCTCAGTGCAGTCCTGCTAATGATCTCATTATTGTGTGTGTTGAAGCAGAGACACATCTAAAGGCAGCAGGGCAGCGCCTCCCTGAGGACTGGAGTGGAAGACCCCTGCTCTAAGACTATAATAGATCATTACAATGTGAAACACATGCATGCAAAATACTACAGGCTGTTATCGTTCCAGAAGAACTATTGTTACAAAAGTACAGAGGTCTAAAGAAAACGAACAAGCTTAAAGCTAAAGTGAGGAGTGTTTAGTTTATTCTCTTTTCCTAGTCATTATTTGTCTTTAGCCCTTAGCCCTTAGCCATTAGCGTTAAATTTTGATTCCTTTTTTGAGGAAAAAAATTCTTAAAATAACTGAGCAGATTTTGTTATCTGCTGTAGGCAAAATAACACCTACTCATTGAATCTCAACACCAGTGTATATTATTTCAATTCTTACAAATTTGAACCAATTTGTTTTTTGCTAACATTGCTCAGAGGCAGTCGGTGAATGAACTGCGCTAAGCGGCTAGCCCCTTCCTTCCCTAAAATCTCTAACCATGTTTCAGGATGTCTCTGTTCTTTAGGGTATACTTGAGTCCAGATCAGAAGAGTCTAAATATGTATGTATATATGTATGACTTTGAACTGCAAATAGTAAATGTAGTTTAGACTCCTTTAAAAACACCAAAATAGCCCTTTAATGTACTGGTAAATTATAAGCTGCAATTTCAACATCATCCACTGCCCAAGGTGCAAAGAATTATTGTCTTATATTGTTTTCATCGTTGACTGGACCTGCTAATAAGCAATATTTCCTTTTGCACTTTGAAAGCATAATGTATGTCTTTCTAAAGAAAGAAACATCACTACTTTTACTAGTTATTTTAAAAACTATCTACTAATGGAGATGCATTCTTATGAATACTGTTCACAGCACCCTAATGTAACACATTCAGACATTTCCATTTTCATTTCCATGTTGAATTAAATTCTATGTTTTTTTGTTTTTTTTTTCTCTCCATGCTTGTTGCGGTAACCTTCCCACCCATTACCTGAACCAAAGGCCGACCTTGTCGCGCTCATATAAAAATGCGTATTTACCACCAGCTTCTGCGGCCTCCCTCTCTCTCCCACAGAGCTGTTTGGCCTGAGTGATAAACAGATAATGACAGTCTAATTCAGTCGGAGTAAAGGGGCTCAACATTTCCGTGCAGCAGATCACTTGCTGATGGTAAACCATTAGGGCAGTGAGTCACAGGCTCTCTGAGGACGTCCATCTTACTTTAACCATGTACATGAGATACTCTGGATGAACTCTGGAGCTGATGTCTCCTCCTGAAGACTGTCAGAGCTCGGCTTTAATCATGTTGAGCCAGTCAAACAGGCATAAGCATTTAGATTAAAGTAACTTGGTTCCAACAGTTTCCTGGTGAGTTGGGTATTGCTTATAAAGGCAGCAGCTATTATGATGTTGTGACTGAAAACACCCAAGACACAAAATCTTGTGTGGAAAATATGTTTAACAATTTTTTTTTAATCACTGTTAGCTGTTCAGTTTTAGTCTTATTTTCATGTCAAACTCAGTTTTTCTTCTTGATTTTGCAGCGTTGGTGGTGAGGTTCCTGACCAGACGCTTTATCTGGGAGTACGATCCAACACTGGGTAAGACTTGCATTTATACAGTCACTCACATGGCATATCATCATTTCAACTGTTATATTATTTCCCCAAAACTAAAGTGCCATAGTCAACATTATAATATACATATTTCACTATATTTTCTGCCATATAACATCCTGAAATTGTTTCAGTTTGTGCAAAAAAAAGGGAGGGCATTCACAAAATAGAACTTCCATAAAACACAATGGATTGCATTGTTTGATTTAGAGCGATGTGCTTTTACATCAGACAGTCTGGATTAATGCAGTCGAGATTGGCCCTTTCACTTTACGATGCTGGTCAAATCGCTTTCCTCCACTATAATTATATGAAGCAAAGACAAAGTGTCTCATCTGTTAGGCTCTTTTCATTTCCTGGCTCTACAGACCAGATGAGAGGCACTAAATGCTTCCCTCGGTGCTCTTTTCAATCCTACATCAGCTTATTTGGTGACATGAAGAGCAATCAGCTGCAAAAACACACAGCACTCAGGAAATTATTGCATTATTCTGAAACTACATAATGGTCACAAACGTATTGCCATTACAATCTATCATATATCACAAATATGGCTTAGATATTAACTTGATTTAAGTATTAGAGGTTATAAATTCAACTAAGGTGATATTTCTCTGGCAAGGGCTTTATTTTTCCAGAGCAATATTGTACTTCCAGAGTGATTTAATGTTGTCCTGGGTGCCAGCCTCATTCTGGGTGTACGCTGAGTAAATACCAAGCGCTGAAATCAAGAAAAGAATAATAACTGCCTCCTTGGTTACCACAAGGGTTGGCGTCATGACCAAGAAAGCCCAGCATGATGTCCATAATGGGAATAACAGCACTGCTGGTGGGTGTCTGTTACCAATCAGACTCTCTGGCTGAAATTACCCATGAAGTGGTCGAAACATTATTAAAATGCTATTATGAGTACATCACACAGGTAGGGGTGTGTGTGCAGCCTGCCAATCTTAGAAAGTGGAGATTGCTGCCAGAAAGTGGGCTCCACTTCATCCATCTCAATGTGCCTGCCGGCAGCTACGGCTGAACATCCATCTATATTGTCTACCTGTTTGATTTAGGGTTATTGATGAGCTAAGGTTTTTTTCTCCCACAGACAGAGAATAACCTTGGATATCCCCACAACTGCTAACATAGAGTGTTCTTTTGATGAAGTGACAGAAGTCACTCCATTAGTTATAACTGCTGTTGAGACTGACAAAGAACAAAAGTGTTAATTTGGTGGAATGTGACTTTTATTTGCTCTAATTTGTTACAGACTGCAGGTAAATTAGATTTTGAAATATTGGAATATAGCATAAGCAGGAAGTTCATCATAACAGCAATAAAATTGTACTGTCAAACCCAAGTTGTGAAGCGACTCTGTAGCAAGCGAATGGAGTATGTCCGTCCAATACTACACAGCTGAAACCAGATATTTGCATTTATTAAACTTTCCCTTATTTTTTAGTTCTTTCTTTAAATTTAGAAGTTTACACACAGTAAAATTTCCATCGATTTCAGCCCCGGTCATGTGGTCTGTTTTGATGCTGAACTTGAACAGATAGACCCACACAGGTTGACAGGTGATCTGAATCTTCTCATCTTGTAGACTGTTTTCCACACAAAGGAATCAGGTCTTTGGATCCCATTTCAACAGTCAGGAGCTCTTGACTGTTGAAATGGTCAACAGTCAAGAGATTAACCCATTAAAGAGCAATTTAATGGGTTAGTTTAACCCATTAAATTGCTGAGTAACGCTCTGATCATAGTAATGCAACTAAATGTTCGGGTGTCTTCACTTATTCATCATCAGAAATTACTTTTTTAATTTGATTTTTCATTTACAACTATAAAGTGGTTTGTTCTTAAGTTTTTATTGTTCGCATGTTTAATTTCTTGATATTTTTTAAATTTGTGTTAAAGATCCAAATATCCAAATTAGTAGGGAAACAATGAAAAACCCTTCATTGTTTGCAAATGACCGAAAATTGGACATAGAACAGACCATTCTGTCTGATAAAATCATACTTAATGTGTTTTAGAGTGCAGAATGCAAAAATGATACTGGTACTTATGTTTTACAAAGCCCATCTTTTGATCTATGTTTATGGTGTCCTTGGCCGGCACCAGCAACTACCACCATGTGTGCATAAATGCTAAAAGATGTCCAACTGGGTCTTAGTTAAAGTACCAGAGTGGGGAACAGCTGCCATCGTAAATGCAGATGGCCACAATATTGGAATGGTTATTGCTTTCTACATATCCTCCAGCAGAGTTTAATCTGCTGGCACACAGAGAGGAATCTGCACTGCTTTGACATCACTACAGCAGCTGCGTCCCGCATTATGCAGCTTCCCAAAGTTCAGGGGAATTTTTGCAAGAGCAGTTTGGAAAAGGAAGCACTGTGGAGCGTGTGCGAGCTAAGGATAATTTAAAGCTTCTGAGTGGATGTGTTGGTGGACATTATGAACAACTTGAACTGTGTGTAGTTTTGTTAAACGGAGCCTGGAGTGTCACTTTGTCTTGAACTCATTCTACCTTTAGGAAATATTTCACTTTGTTCCAAGTAATTCCAAGGCATCTTAAATCCTGAAAAGCTCTGAAAGGAGTAACAGAAACAATAAACAGGGTTAGATCGACTGCAGCTGACAGAGTGATGGCTCCTGAAATAGGCTGCCGTCCCAGCAGTCGCAGCGTGATGCTCACGCTCGCAGCCAAACAGCTGCACACGCTACTTCCCCTGGCTCCCAGTGACATTTCATTTACGTCACAGGTACGCAGTTTGTCCCCAGGAGGGCCAATTGCACCTGGGAAGCAGCAGGGGAAGCGTGCACAATCAGACATTTAAAACTTCTCAGTTCTGAGAATCTATGCTGTCAATTATGAAGTTGACATTTTGAATATGTTAATAAGTTGCACCACGGAGTATATCTTTAAATTACTAAACCTGTTGATGTCGGAGGTTAGAGGAGACTGGTTTGAGGTGTTACAAATGCAAATATAACTCAAATGATTGCTCATTACATCCAACACAGAATTCCTTTAAAGCTGAAGCAGATAAGCTCCATTAGCATAAGACTCCAGGTGCTGCTCCTACTAGTGAACCACAGAATTCTGTGACTACAATCTACACACATTAACCAAATATTTCCAATGATGACTGAAAAACATTGACTGGTCCAGTTAGTCTTGAATTCAGCTGCAACATTTAGATTTGAGGGTCTGATTTTGATCTAAGCTACCTAGTTTATAGTTTGAACAGTGGGACTGTGTCCACCCCTGGAAGGTGACCTCTGTGGCCCCCTAGAGAAGACCCTCCATCCCTTTAACAAAGGACGATATAAATCCAAAATTTAACAAATAAAAAATAATGTGAAAATTAAAAAAAATCATATTTTATATATATATATATATATATATATATATACACACACACACACACACACACATCCTCGTACTTCTATACAAACGGAGGACTTTGTATCGACTTCCATTCATTTCAACAACTGTAATTATGCTTATAACCCAGACATATTCCTAACCCTAACTATGTAAACCAAAACTTAATTCACACCAGACTGCAAAATCCAACCAGTAGAGTGCAGTGGAACTGCAAATAAATAAATAATTAAATGAGGCCCAGGAAAACGTCCTCACACTCCACTAATGACCTCACTGTGTTGGTAGATGTTGTGAAAGCGGCCCTCTTTTGTAGCACTTACAAGTACACACAAAGAGCAGAGGGCACACTAAAATGTTAATAGCAGAGGTAATATTATTTCATAAATTCCGTGTTGGTGTAATGCTTTAGTGTTAGCGGAACTAATGTTTATGATTAGGGCTTTTTCCAGCCCTATGGGTCTGCCAGTGTGTTTGAACCCTGCAGCCCGTTTGGGCATCAATTACTAACCCTCTCCTCATCTTCTGATAGTTATTCAGCCAGATAATGTTACATTTCATGGGGTGCTGTGGTGATGCACAAATTACATAAGGCATCCTTAGTCCTCAATGTGGCTGTCGCAGGTTCGAGTCCCGGCCTGGTTACCTTTACCGCATGTCTTCCCTCTCTCTCATTTCCTACTTTCCTGTCTGAGCACTTTCAAATGAAGGCAGCTAGAGCCAAGAAACATCTTTTTTTTTATTTTTTATTTTTTTAAAAAGAATGTTACATTCCATTGGTTTAAAATGCTTCTACATTGTACTTCGGTCATGTTAGTTTAAAACAGTCTACAGCTGATGTTTTCTGCAATTGTTTAGATTGTGTGCCCCTGTGGTGAAAGAGGGAGTAAGTTAATATTTTCATCTCTGAAATCACAACTTTTAGCTCTCACTCTCAGGCACCCAGCAAAACTTTAGTCAACATTGTTCAGCATAAATGACCTACTGTGTTTGGCCCTTATGGCTAAACTGATTTAAAAAACAAATCTATGTAAATCAAATTTCTGTGAAAAAGAAGTTCTGGGAAAGAAAAATTGTAGGCCTAAAAATAATGTGTCCAGTAATGTATTCACCTTTCCAAGAAATGTGTATTGTACACATTTTTTCAGTTGACATGGACGGACATGGTGTGTAAACAAAAGCAGTGTTACTTCTCAGTCTTATTAAGGAAACACCTTTTCAAAGTAGGAATAACTGACTGTTCTGTATTAAGAGAAAAACATCTTTTTTATTTTCAGTTATTGTGTGAATGACAGAAAAACCATCATTTTTCTGCTCATGCCAGAAATATCTGGGTATCTTGGATAGCTTTTTCCCTTTATAAATGAAATCATTTGAAATCTGCTTCCTGTATTCACTCAGGTTATCTTTGTCTTATTTTAACATTTATTCTACAATCTGAAACATTAAGTGTGACAAAAAAGCAAAAACTGTAGAAACATGCAAAGAGAGTGCTGTGTGTCATTTGTCAATACAAGTACTTGTGGAGGAATTTTTCCCTCCATTTCAGTGGTGATCATAATTTCCTTCTCTCTGAATTGACCAATTTAAAACTGCAACCGGACGAGTTCTCCTCCCACATCAGGATTTGTCACCATCTACTGATGAGTCATAACCGAACAGAAATTTTTAAAGTAGAGCTGAAAATAAAAAACTATCTGATTGTATTTCCTTTTTTTTGTGGCCTACAGAATCTACGTATCGTCACCAAGCCAGCATTGACGATGAGGTTGTCACCATGGAGATCCTGGACACTGCAGGCCAGGTGGGATAAATTATCAACTGAATACTTAGACACACAGCAGGGTGATGTAATTTGAGGATCATTTTCACTCTGCCTGTTTTGTACACCTACATTATGCTACATTTACTTGAAAAGAAAACATTCCGTTATCTAACACTGAAGAACATCTGACCCCGGCCTTGTCTTATTAACTTTGACCATAATAATGTCTGATTGGATAATTGCTCAAGCATCCTCTCCAATCAAAACCATTCACTGGCCTGATTAAAACCGGGGCCCCTGGGTCAGAATGTTTTTATCTGACATTATAACTGTGTCAACGTCATGTTCATTTTATTATTGTATTTGAACAGTTCTTTTCCTGTGGTCACCTAATTACACAATATGGAAATACAACGACTGAAAACCAGTTTTTCTGAGTTAGGGATCATTGTTGTGTTCAGTTTCAGACGTCTCACTGAAAACCTTCAGATTAAAGGAAACAAAACGAACCCATTAACCACTGAGGCTCTGATCTGTCATCATCTGAAAACTGAGATGTTAGTCACAACACCATACACTGAGAAGGCTCCAGCCAAGAACTTAAACAAAACTCCACCACTGTGGTTAATGCATTTAGAATCAGTTGTCTAAATGACTATTAATTTCTAATTCAGCAAATCAGTTATTGAAACATTCCTATATCAAAATAATGATTTTAACCTTACTTCTGCTTTGCATTGTAAACTGGTTGTTTGTCCACAGGCCATTGTTGTCAGTAATTTAGTCTTAAGCTAATCTTAATTAGTGTAACGATAATTTAAACTTCTTTACAAACTCTTCTTAATAGTCATGGTTTTGCAACATTTACATGTGTTTACTGAACTCTGATACTATGAGTTATTTCATGTTTTATTCTGACACATTTTGGTGCAAAATAATAATTATTTGAATGGAAATTTGGCCTCTTTTCTAAATTTCTCAAATTAACCCTTGTTTCAAAACTTTCATGGTTCAAACTATATGTCACTTGTTCATTTTTACTCTTTGCTTTGATCATTTATTATTTTAATCAATAATTTTTGCTTCCTAGTTTAGCTGAGTGTTACTGGCTTAGTGAGTTTGTTGGTTAGACTATTTTAGTTGGGAGGGTTTGAGGATTTTTGTTACTAAACTTATATATATTTTAAAACTTTTTAAATTTAAATAATGAGCTGACCTTAAAACATTATTTGATAACTAGCTCAGACGGCGCCTCAAAATCAAAAACTGGATTGAGGCACTGTATGGAAGCCATAAGAGGACATATTTAGAGACCTTTTCCGTGATCTTGATCTGGCTTTAAGCTAAACATTTAGCCTCACTGTGCATACTCCACCTGTGTCTAATATGAGTCTAAGTGTCCTCAAGTGCTCTATGGAGCACCGTTACTTGGAGAGAAGCAACAGTTGTTAGAAGGAGTGTTGGTTGGATGTGAAAGTGAAGGGCCCTTCAGGAAGGTAATTTCCTGCAGCCCAGCAGGAGTGCTGCCTCGCTCCGACCGTGAGGGAGCGCTTGCGTAAGTCCTCAGGAGAAGATAAATATGCTGCAGTGCTGCGTAGGTGTTCTGCTGGAGGCTGATTTCCCCTGCGACACTTCAGCCCAGTCATCTCTCCGTCATTACAGAGAGGGCTATTTTCAGTCGGGCGTTAAGACGAGGCCTGCGTGTTTACTGACCAGACGGTGCCGGATGTCAGGAATCTCCTTCGCACTGATTGGGCACTCTAGCTAAGCAGGATTCATCCAGGAACACCAGAAATCTCAGGTTTAAAAGAGAATCAGTTGCATGAAGCGTACCTCACCTTACTAAAACATGATTTGCATTCTCAAAAAACAAAAATCTCGATTGAGCTCGAGATAATTTGACTTCATGAAAAATGACATTAATGCCACAATATTACAATTGGAAACCAAACTGTGAAGTACCACTTCAGTTTTCATTTATGAATATCAACTAACGACATGCGTGACTCACATGAATGGTGAGATCTGTGTGGAAAAAAAACTTTTTCATGGGGAAAAAACATCAGGCAGGACAAAATGCAGCAGCAAAATCTGCTGGGATTAAAATGGACAGAGCCAGACATTGATGAGCAGTAGGAAAGAACATTTAGAGGATTTCATGGAACAAAGTCTTGCTTTTTAAACATTTCACACTAAATGTTCTATTGCCAGAGAAATTAATTATTCAATTAAATAATTTGGGGGAATTATTTGTGCACTTGGATGGGTTATGACAATGACTTCTAGCAGTGTGTGGCCAAATTATTATGTACATGAAGCAGTATTTATAAACGAATAGAGAAAATAATGCAAAAATGAAAATACTTACATCTACTATATAAGCTTAAAATTCATCAACACTAAGTAAGTACCCATCTTATATAATGTCTCCAACTGGATATAGTTTCAAATGCTGGAGAGGAAAACAGTTTTATTATGTTTGTATCTAAACTAAACTATTAGATTTCAACAAATGCATGTTCTAATGAAGAAGTTATCCAAAGAGCTCTGTTTCTAGCCGAGGGATTAAGAATAAAAAGGGTTTCATAAACTGTTTTATTGTGCTTGGATTAGGTTCCTTAAAGAAATGCCTTTCCTGGAAGGAGATGAGGGAGAGAGATCATGAAATCTAAATGGTGTCTCTGGGCCCAAGAGCATTTTATTGCTCATGGGGAGATTTAGGGCCTGGTGAGTTTCTTCTGCCTGGGCTCTGCTTGAAAGCAAAACAAAAAGAATGCTTCTTTCTTTTTAAAAAAGTTGTTAAGATAATGTGCATCATTGCCAGCCTTACTCTACTGTAAGCTGAACTGAAAAGAGGAGATTATATAACAATGTGCTAGCTGAAAGTATTTTGTTGACATTCATGTCTCTAGAAAGATTACATCCTTAATATTTTTGTGAGATTTTATTTGTCTCCAGCTGCTATGTTTGCAAGAGAAGTTATCTATCTCAGCTGTGCACTAACCGGCTTTTATTTTACTCATGAAATTTTGTCCATAAAATAGAAAACCACTTCTCTGCTTTATGCATATGTCAACTCTGCTGCAGGGCTAGCTTTGTTTCCTCTGCAAACAGAATCAATAAAGGGAGATTTATGCTTAGCTCTGCCAATTTTTTCTTGTTTATTTTTGTTTTCCTTGCTTACCAGTAACAGCTAAAAAGTTTTTAGTACTTTACAACATATAACAACTTTGTTATCATCTCTGGCTATGAAAATAAAATCATATTTTTGTTGCTGTATTGGAGTAAGGAGGTTACAGTTACTGTTTAGCATTTAACAGAGTGTAATGATACCCAAACATCTGATATTTTGTGAAATTTTATGGGTGTGGCTGATGGTTGTTCTAGCTAAGAGTTAGCTTGGCTAGCAGCCTCGTTAGCAGAAGGAGCTAGTTCCTTTTTATAGAAGAATTTTATAGAATCTTATAGAAGAGCCATTGATTTTGTCATTTTCAAATGACAAACTGTGAGACCTCTGATGGAGCCAATCGTTCCAGGAGGCCAGTGCCTGAAAATAAATACAAACTGCTGAGACTCATGATGCGAAAAAAGTGTCTCCATTGCAGTTTTGCGAAATACACAAATTTTGATACGGCTGAAAAACAACCTGACCCAAGAGCAAAAACTTTTTATTGACAAAGGTGTTTCTCCAAAATTGGTGCCACAGGAATCAAAAGACACCTAAACTAATAACGTAATTGTTGGATACTTTGGTCAAATTTGATTCAGTGGTAAGTTGTTTTGGCTTGCTCGGATTGTGCACCTTTACTGTAAAGACCATGTCAGGAATGTTTTTTCTTCACAGGAGGACATCCAGCAGAAGGAAGGTCACATGCGCTGGGGCGACGGATTCATCATTGTCTATGACATCACAGATCGGGGAAGCTTCGAGGAGGTAGCCCCTCTTCGAACCCTCCTGGAGGAGGTGAAGAAACCAAAGAACGTCCCTCTGGTGCTGGTGGGGAACAAGTCCGACCTGGACCACGTCCGCCAGGTCCCCACAGAGGAAGGCGAGCGGCTGGCGGCTGAAATGGCATGTGCCTTCTACGAGTGTTCGGCCTGCGCCGACGAGGGCGGCGTAGTGGCCGAGGCGTTCCACGAGCTATGCAGGGAGGTGAGACGCCGCAAAGCCGTCCAGGGCAAGGCCCGTCGCCGCAGCTCCACCACGCACGTCAAGCAAGCCATCAACAAGATGCTGACCAAGATAAGCAGCTAGGGACGAGTCCTGCTGGTGTCCAGTGATAAATGGACATTTTCTATTTTTCTCATGGAAATAACTGAGACAATTTCTGACTGCGAAATGACTGACATGTGGCTAACTTCAAGTGGAATCTCCATGTTCTATGACTGATTGACATTGAAGAAGCCAGCAGGGCTGAGTTTTCTCTTTGGAGGAGCCAGAAGACGTCAGTCTGCTGAGTTCTTAATGTTCCCTCATTCAAACCTTTAAGCTGATTCAGTGCATGGAGTTACATGGTAGCTTAATATGGCATATCAGTTATATGTTGAGGCTCCGATATTTCTGGCATGAGCAGAGGTGTGACCGTTTTACCATCATTCACACAAAAATGTAAAACAATTTCTTACTCCAGAACGGCCCGATATTCTCATTTCAAAAAGGTGTTACCTTAATAAGCTACCTTAATAAGCTTGAGAAGTGATCCTGTTTTAATTTAGTCAGTTGTCCATGTCAACTGAATTTGTAGTTGTAAGAACAAAGGTCAGTGTACCACCTGACCAGCGGTGCACAGCATCAGTTGGGGGAATGCAAGTCCTGTGTTACTCTGTTTTCCATCCAGCCAAAAAAAAAAGCAACTCCGGAACTTCTCTGGAATCTTTGATCTAAAGAAACGGCTTAATGGAAACCTTTAGTGGTTTTAAAACCTGATACTGGTTAATGAACACATGCCTAGTTGAGTCTTTTGGCTTTTTATTGGTCATAATTCCCTTTATAACTCCCTTTAAATTATTTTGTAAGCCATGGGATTTCTAAAACTGATGCAGGCAGGATATCCAATGTGACATGCACGGAATCTAAGAGTTCATGATTAAAAGTTGCTTTATTGCAGCCGGTCTCAGTGGGATAAATGCGATCTGCTTCAACAAACATCAGAACTCTTCTGGCAACAGTGATAAAAAAAACAACTTGAAGTTCAGAGGAGTGTTGCTTGATGAGGATGGATCCCAGTGTTCTTCACTGTTCCAAGAGTAAGCTGAACTAAAAAGAGTCTGACCTGGACCAAAACCTTCTTTTATAGAAGAATTTTATAGATTCTATATCTTATAGAATCTGCTGCCTGGTAAGGATGGAGGCTCCATCCTGGAAAGCCGCTCTGTAGTAAATACATCTAAGTTGGATTAACATCTTCGGCTCTGCAGCGGACTCTCAGGCCCTCTGTGTTTGTCTGGGACGCACCAAAGCAAAGGTCCAGATTATGTCGGAGCTCATGACTGCAGGTTCTATAAATACACAAAGGGAAGCGACGCCGCGTTCAGAGGATTTCCTTCTGTTTACTCTTTAAACAGCAGCATCTATTAAATGCAATGTTTGTGTTTGTTGTCTGATCTAAACCAATCGGCTGTACACTTGGAATTAAACGCTGATGTATCCGACCTGTCCACTGAAAAATAACTTACCATTAATGTCAATATATGACTACATGCATGGGCTTTATTTATTTATATATTTATTTTCCCTGTACTGTTCAGCGGCGGTATTTGGAACAGATTTACTTTCACAACTGGAGTGTTAGAGCTTTCGTTATAATGCCCCACTTGATATAAATATAAAAATTAGAAATTGCTTTGTGTTAATTTCAAATGCAATAGACCCAGAGACAAGAAAAAAGAAAAAAATGGAAGTGAGGAGAGGTAAAAAGATAAAGTACAATTATCTGCTTCTACACCTGCAGAAAGAGAGAAAACAGAGAGACAATAAACCTCAGTGACAAACATAACAACGTCACTGAAGGCTCTCAGTAGTGAGATGTATTCAGTGGCAGCCACAGACCAACATGGTGTACCCACCTGAATCTATACCAAGAGAATATCTGTGTGTGTATATATGAAAGTGTGTGTTTTAGCATTTTCCAACTTGTAATGCCCATTTGTTTCAATAGATACTACTCTATGAGGATCCTGGCTTTGGGCCCCATAAGATGAAGTGCTATACTATGGTTAAGCCAGTTTAGGTGTTTAGAACTAAGGTGTGGATCAAGCTTAGATCAGGTTTAGGGTTAGTCTTTAACAACTGGTGAAAACTAAATGGTAACTAATGCAAAGTTCTTGTGACAATTAAAAGCTAATGTGTGTGTGTGTGTGAAAGCACACTTAGGTACATAAGGTTTCTCCATAGGAATATTCAGTAGTGGCTGTGAGGAACTGCAGCAAGTGTTTGCAGGGAAGACCAGTGCAGGGACAACAGTGACCCTCCCTCAGGGAAGAGCAGAGGAAACCCCCGGGGGAAACACCCAGCAGACGAAGCCCAGAAGAAGAGCCCTGCACTGCTGGAGCAGATCCAGCCCAGAACTCAGAGACCCCAGGGCACCAACCCCCAGCACAGGCCCAACAGAGCCAAGTGCCCTGCCTGATGGCCTCTAAGGGGACAGTATGAGGAATTTTCCAGGCACATAGTACAATTAGCACAATCAACTAATTATGTAACCTTCAGTTGTTATAAAAATGCTATAAAACCTAAACGAAATTTGACTTTGCAGCTTGACGCCTTGAAATTGGGCCTCTGTCTCTTTAAGAAGCTCCAGCTCTTTCTCACACTCTACCTCCATTAAGTCATCACAACAAGGTTTCTCCATTACACCGTTTGCAAACGTTCACAGGTGTTTCATAATTGATGCTGCTGTTAGTCTAGAGGAACTGAGTGGAGCTTGATGAGACCAGAACGGTTGCCATGGGAGATTAAAGGATTCCTCAAACATGCATGATAGAATCAAGGCAACACTGATGAGGGAATAACATTATAGCATGATGGAAAGCTTAATAAAAGTCGACTGTACATAATATTAGCAAATAGTCTACTTCTTTCAGTAACAACTTCCACGCCAAAGACTATTGATTTTAGCATTACCTGTTGGCTTTTAAGTATGGTGCATTCACAGACCAGAACAAAAAGGGGATTTTAGCGTTTTTTTACTAGCTAATCACCCACAAGAAAAAAATAAAAAGAAATTGATGATCCATAAGATATCTCACTGTATTACGATTAATATTTTTGATGGAAATAGATGCTGTCAGTACAGCAGAAAGTTCACCCTATTCCCCATGCTGAGTGGATTATGAGTGAAAAATCACAAAATCTAATTACAACCCAGCTCTACATCAGCATGGGCCAACGATAGCATCACAATCATTTTCTTTAACCAAACAAACGTTCTTTTAAAAGTCTCCTCTGGTCATGTTACAGGCATTCAGAACTTTATCTAGATTTGGAATATAAGTGAGTCCTAAATTTGATTTTAAATATCCATTTCTGTTCCTCTAAGGTCCACATGAAAGATCTATCAGCTTGTCCTCCTCAGTCTCGCTCTGGCCAAAACCAGCAAAGCTGAACGTCACTCATTTCTGGTTGTTTTAAAGGAAACCTCCCCAAAGTACACCATGTTACTTCAGATGGATAACCGGCTCAAGGAGAGAACATATAAAAAAAAAGAAAGAAAAAGAAAAAAAGGTGCTTTCTTTAGTCTGGGTGAAGCAGAAAGGAGCGGCTTTCTATCTGCCAGATAATTACTAGTCAAAAGTTTCACCGCAGCCACAGAGCTCCTCCTCTTCCTGAGCAGCTGGGGGGGAAACAAAAACAAAACAATATCAGACTTCATGTTTAAATCTGTATAAACTCATCTAATTGCAAAACAACTTCTTGTATTAAAGTTAGACTCCAGCACTCTGCAGTGACTGCTCAGAGCAGAGTGTGCCGACAGCTCCCACACAGCCGCCTGCTGTCAGACTAACTGGAAAATCTTCCTGCTTCTCCAACCTGAAGCGCTTTTCCCTCCTCCTGCCGCACTGTTCAGCCTTCACAGTAATATATTCTCCAGAGGTTTCAGCTCCTGCTTCCAGTCTGTGTTGAGCCAACCGGTTCAGGGAGACATGTTGGAAATGTGCAAATACCAACGTGACTTTATCAGGATGTTTCTACGGATGGCTAAGTGACGTCCTCGTGTTTCCATATTTAGACATTCCGGAATTAAATAAAAGTTATGGTTTGCCTCTGCTGCAGGTGAATTCTTCGACATGAAATCAGACGAAAAATGTTCCCGTTTTAGAAAGGGGCTTACTGCAATTATTTCTAGTTGCTCGATTCTGCAATAATTAAATTCTAAATACTTACTTCTCCCAATTAAAAATTAAATATTCTAAAATTAAAAATGTATAAATAAAGGTGAAAAAAAATCTTATAACTTATATCATTCAAGTAGCTTCAAAGAATCTGTGGATGGTGATGCTTACCCAGCTCATTTGCTTTTGCCACTCCCCTTTAAGTCTGTCTGGCTGTTTGGCAGAGAGATGCTGCAGAAGGGCATACAATCCTCTTTCATTATGAGGGATGAAAGAAACAGTTTGGTGACGCTCTAATGAGAGAGCTCATGAGTTTACATCCATTTTGATGTAATATTTGGTGAAATCAGCCTTTAAGCTGCAGGCGGTTAAACATTTTGATAAATAAATCAGATCTTTCTGTTTAAATACAGATTTGTTTTTGAGTGCCCTAATATGTAAGATTTAATTTCTTCTAAAATCACACCTACATTGTCGCAGCTGTTTATTACTGCATTATGTAACCTCACTGGACTCCCATTTGAGGCAATGCACTCAGTCACATGAAAATATTTAGTAAACATGATCACACGTGAATTTTTCCTCGTTATTTTTGAAGGGAAACAAACATCTCTGGAGTGAAAGTGATTCCCACCAGAGTCCATACTTCCTGTTTAGATATGCAGCCATGGGGAGAGAGAGCAGTCCAGGGACCTCAGTCCATTTTTAAATTGACAGGCAGCGTGACTGAGAGGAACCCAGCAGATGATGATCCATTTGCACACAGACAGAAGGCCCTGCACGAGATTTTCTGGGTTTACTTTTGAGGATGCATTCGGTGGCAGACGTGTTCTCCACACGGCGTTAGGTTTTCCTTCAGAAAAAAAGGAAAATCAATCAGGGAAGGATGAGAGCTTCATAGCAGAGGAAATGAAAAGTGTGCAGAGGGATAACATTCCCTGTGTAAACAGGCCAGCTCTACCTCAGTCCAGTCTCTTACCAATAACTCACAGTTCTACTGGAAGTGGATCAGTTACACTCTAAGGTCGAGGAATCCCAGCATCTCTGATTTGGCTGAGAAATTCTTCCTCAGCTCGTATGAATCCGGATCCTTCAAATATTTTAGGATATAGGTGGTTTTATTACCATGTGTACCACACCCTACATACCTCATCTGTCTGACAAAAAGAAGCAGACGATGTAATTCACATCTTTCAGTCTGGAAATGCTTTTAAAGTAGTCCACCGGTAACCGGGGCGACACAGGTGGGTCCAATGAGCTGGACATGGAAACTGACCTGAGACAGTACAGGACTGGGAACCAAACGGATAAACAGACCTGGCAGGAATCTAACAAGTACAACACTGAGCAACTAAAGTTAGCAACAGTTCAAACCCCATTTATGAGTGGATTTTTGATGCTTCGTCTCCTTCAGCAACAGTTAAAGATATGAAATGAAATGGCTGAGTTGATAAAGACCCCAAATTAAGAATATTGGACTTTTAGGTTTAACTAAAACATTGCTACTGCCATGAAAGGTTTAGGAGCTTTGCTCTGAACTTTTTGTTGTTTAATCTTTTATTTGTAATACTTGGATAATGAAGCTGCTGTAACTCTGCTGTTGCATCCAGATCCAGTTTATGTAGATGAACATTTAATGCTGAATGTTCCTCTGTTTGCATAGAGCAAAAAAATGGAAACTGAACTTCTTTGACACAAATAGTTGGGAAGTTTTATCTCTCTCTGCCCATCGGTGTTATACAAGGGCATTACTGTCCCCATGACAACCAAGGTCTTCTCTGCTATTAAAGAAACTCTCACTTTGATGGCCGAGGTTTTCCTCTGCGCACGCACACACACACGCACACAGGATTCTTCCAGGTAAACATACAAAGATCTGCCCACACAAACAGACATTAAATGCATTAAGTGCCACAGTGAAGCCATATTTTTTATTCTGAGACTTTTATATAAATTAATTGAACATAACACCGTCAAGGTTACATATAAAATCCCCACAGCAGATGAATCCAGCCTGTGCTGCAGGCTGTGAAACGATGCTCTCATGCTAGTGAGGAACCAACATTAACCAGAACATTAACCATGCTGGAAATTCGCTTTCCAGCATTCATGTCACTGTTTGGTTAGATTAATGGACGTTTCCTCGGTTTCCTGATACAATGTTTTTACTTCCGATGTGATACAGATATTGCAGCTTTGATTATAAACCAATACTGAACCGATGTGTTATCAGCAGCAATCGTGCGTACTTTTATTACTCTTTTTATAGTGAGGAATGTTAGAAGAAGCTTGATCAAGTCATATTACTCAAACAGAGAACAATAGTCAACAACAATAGGTAAGAAAACAACTGACCCATTTATTATGGGATACAAGCTGTTGGATAGAAATTCTGGAGCGGAATGCTTCTAATGGAGCGCTTATGTTGGAGATTTCAGATGCAGGCCAATATAATCCGATACACATTTTTTGGATAATATCAGGCCGATTTCTCATATCAATA